CTCTCTCTCTCTCTCTCTCTCTCTCTCTCTCTCTCTCTCTCAATCTCTCTCTCTCTCTCTCTCTCTCTCTCTCTCTGTTACATGCAGCGCGTGCACACACGGGCCATTTTGCAGGCCCGATGGCCATTTTGCAGGCCTGCGTCCGTCCAGGCTAAAAGCCTGAACTTCAGGCCGAAAGCCTGAAATCCAGGGCTTACAGGCCCCCTGACGGTTCAGGCCAAAAGTCTGAAGTTCAGGGCCTATCCCTGGTCGTTTCAGACTAAAAATGGCAACAACCTTTTTAGCCTGAAACGAAGGGCCATTTTCGGTCGTTCATCAGAACGACCGGCCCTGAAACTCAGGCACCGAACCAGGGTTTCGGAAACAGACTATTATTAGTCTGTTTCCCACACCAGCCTCAAGCAGGCTACTGCACGCCAGCCCCTGGCACACTTCGGCATTGGCAAGAGCTGCCTCCTCGGCCTGACTGGCCTCCAGTAGTCAGGAGGCAGGCCGAGGTAGTACATAGGACTTCCCAGGCACTTCCGAGGTAGGCAGTCGGTCAGTTGTAGTCTTCAGGATTCGGGAGCAGCACTCTGGAGGGAGCGTTGCGTAGTAGTAGTTGTAGCATTAGCTAGTAGTCTTCAGCGCTGGGCGCAGTAGGTAGCTGTAGTCTCCAGCGTTGGGCGCCATAGCTAGGTAGTACTAGAGAGAGAGAGAGAGAGAGAGAGCTTGGGCGGAGGCCAGAGATAACTACCTGCAGCGCCGTTGCTCCAGCTTCGTCTTCGAGGTACCTGCAGCACAGCGCCAACACCACAGGTTAGTATCTGGTTCGTAACAGAGAGAGAGAGAGAGAGAGAGTTCTTCTTCTCCTTCTCAGTCCACCATCTCTTCTCTCCCTCTCACTTCTGACTTCACTGCATCTGCAGACTATGAGAGAAGAGATACAGAGCTTGGTGACATTTGATCCAGACTCGACTTTCGGGGGTTCAGACATGGCAACGAGGGACTATTTGGGATTGGTGACCAAAACTTGGTGTTAACGACATTCCCATCTTCCTCCCTCCTTTCGTCTGATCCTTATCTCTTCGTCTGTGTATGTCTGGACCTGGCGCTTTCTTCTGGTGTGCAGCGCCAGTCTCCTTCACACTTGTGATGGATACAATGCATGTTTAAGTCTGAGTTCAAACATTGATTGGGCTAGTTAGTAGTACTCTAGCGTTCTACTTCGTTACTCTGAACTACGTRAAAGAGGTCAGTCCTGTCAGATCAGTCTTTGTATCAAAGTCTTCCCTGCGCTATTCAGCACCTTTTGTATGTATGAGAATGCACATTGTCTGTCGAGATTCTACTCGCACTGTATTGTCCATTCAGTCCTTTTCATCACACTGCAGTTCCTCGGTGATTACGTACATTGCATATCTGTGCATGTAACAGTTGGTATCGGAGCTTTTGCACGTGAATCAGGACAACCTGATCTGACACGTGTGCGGGGACTAAAAAGCTAGTTAGTCTTTTCTATTTGATTAGGACATACTAGTTAGACCCCAAAATCACGATCTTGACCTTACTACAAAAAAAAAAAATCAAAATTTTAATTTTTTTTCTTTTCTCGGATTTTATTTTCTCGCTATTCTGCTGTGGAAAATCGCTATATCGCAACATCTGAAATTCCTATTTTCGTTTTTTCTTTCTGAAAATTCGAAATTTCGTTGTTGAAAATCCGGAATATATTTCTTTTTGAAAGTTTCGATTTCCTGTTGCATTTCCCGTTACTTAGAACTTAGGAATATCTTCGTTTCTAAATTTCGTTTTTCTGAAAACGGTACGGGAAATACCTCCTGCACGTATTATTTTTTTTAACTGCGAATATTCCCATCGGAATAAATCCGAATACTTGTCATTTCTGTTCGGATAAATTTTTCGCAGTTCCTGGATTCTGTCAGTGGTTCTATAAATCGGTTACAGTCCAAAGTCGAAATTTTTGTTGTCACTGATCATTTCGAACTTCAAGGGAGGTTGGGAGACCTACCGAACTTGCAAAAATCGGGATTTTTATTTTCTCAAAAAAAAAATTTGCAAAGTTCAAACTTTTCTGCTTTGATTAGTGGCTCCTTATCTAAGTGTGAGTTGGGCGAGTATCCCACCCACCCCTCCCCACCTATGTTGTTGCCATCTCTCGCCTTGCCGCTTCTGTTTGTATCCGGGTACCCCCTGCGGCGGCATTGGTAAGTTGCCACGTCAGCAGGCCACGTCAGCAAATCACGTCAGCAGGACACGTCAGCAGGTTACGTAAGTACGTCAGCAGACCACGTCAGCAGGCTATGTCAGCAGGACACGTCAGCAGGACACGTCAGCATTGCCACGTCAGCAGCAAGGGATACCACATCAGCAGGCACCGGTCTGGTCTATGCTGTTGCGTTCACAGATAGCAGTAATGGACCAGAAGGCCGGGGAAACAGACAAGGCCTGTCAGGCCCGCATGTTAGCCTGGAGTACCGAGACAAAGAAGCGGGCAGATGACGCTGCCGCAGCAGCAAAAAAAGTGGCAGAGGATGCCGAGCAGGCACGTCTGCTGGCGGTTGAACAACAGCGCCAGCATGACGAGGCAGCAGCAAGGGCTGCCGATGAAGAGAGAACACAGCGTCGTGAGAAGATATTTACCGGAGAGCGGGCATTACTTACCATGGCGGCAGAATGGCGAATTGAGGCCGAGAATAACCAATTGGAGGATAGCGCAAACAAGATAGCGCTCCTCCTCTCGCATCTCACGGATCTCCTGGCAACCTGCATTACACAGCAGGCAGAGATCCTTGGTCTCGACAGATCGCTAGCTCACCTCCAAGACCGTTTTCAACGGTTGGAGCAGCGACCAGTCGCCGCCGCCGACGCAGGCTCTTCCAATACTGCCGACCGCCTCAGTGCACTGGAGATGCACGTCGGCTCACTCCAGGATGGCGCACAGTTACAGCTCACCGCGACGCAACAGTTGCAGCAGCGGGTCTGTACCACCGCCACTACCTCGAGTACGGAGCCGCACGAGTCAACTCCAAAGTTTGACGGGCAGGAGATCTTCTGCGACGCCATGAAGACAGATCCAATTCCATGGTTTCGCAAGTTCGAGCTCACGCTGCAGCTCCACAACGTCAAGGAACACAAGCATCATGCCTACTTGTACTCTCGCTCAGGGGGCGCGTGTCAGGCTTGGTTGGACAACCTGTTGTCCAAGTACGGAGTGGTAGCTAATGACTTGCACACCAAGATCACCTGGGATGATCTGAAGGTGGCGTGGCACAAGCGGTTCCAGGTGGAGCCGCCAGAGATCAAAGTCATGGACAAGCTCATGGTCTTCGAGCAAGGCACGTTGCCGAGTACAGAATGGATCGTCGAGTACCACCGCTTGACGTCAGTCCCAGACATTCAGATGGGCTTCAAGGCCATCCGCCACTACTTCATCTCAAGGTCATGTCCGGCACTGAGCAATGCCCTAACGCATGTCGAGGACACCTTGACGACGACGGCGGAATTATTTGACAAGGCTGCGCAGATCATCGTCACGAACAAGGAGGCCAAGAACCTTCGTTCATCTGCGTCAGGCCCGAGCAGGGACCAGCATCGGCCAAGAGTGGCCGTGGTCGCAGCGGCAGCGCCGCTAGACCAAACCAGCGAGGCTGCGTCTGCCAGTGAAGGAAACAGATTCGCAGCCGCCCGAGTAGGTGGCCGCGCCGGCAGAGGCCGAGGGCGCAGCAAGACGAAACATACACCGTTTCTAGCCCCGGGCCCGGTGCAGCAGCCCGGACAGGCCCATGGACCCCGTATGGCATCTCCGAGTCCGCATACAAGGCGTGCGAGAGATTCCACTATTGCCCTTGGTGCAACAACGATCTTCATCAGACGCAGGTTTACTCATTGAAAGGCAAGGGCAGACAGGGAAACTGAGCACCGCCGAGAGTGACGCGACGACACTCTCGACGCCTTCGGAACTGGTTTCTTCGCGAGTGACCAGCCTTCATTCCGAGGCGCACGCGGAAGTCGATAGTCATCCGCTTCTACTTTCTTTTGAGGACTATGCTGCCCGGCTCGTTCCAACGCTGGGTACTCAAGCTCAAGGACAAGGAGTGTGTGCGGTTTTTTCTCCGTCCGGCAACAGCGACAGATCGTCTTCAAGTGGTTCGTCACGGGATTCGGCGCGCGAATTCAATGTAGAGGCATTGGACCCGCTCACGTCTGAGGACTTTGCATGGCTTCCTCTCCCGACCACAGGCTGTTTGCCGGGACCGCAATGCGCAGCACTTAGCACTAATCTTCACACTTACCTATCCTTCTATGCACCACCAACTTCGCCGACGGATGACGAAGTCGCGGTGGGGGACATCCTGGCATATATTACCAAGGTGGCCCGCGAGTTTCGCACGCAGCGGTACGATGACAACAACGCACCGCTCATGTATGTCCGCATTCAGGTTGGGCAAGCATCCTGCAGCGCTTTGCTGGATAGCGGCGCGACTCGCAACTTCATGAGCCAGTCTTTTATGCAAAGAGCTAGCCTTGGCGCACAAGTTCGGAGGAAGGCAATCCCGACGGCGATCAAGTTGGCGGATGGWAAAACGCAACAACTTCTCGACCATTACATCGAGGCCATACCGGTCTACTTCGCACCTCATGCATGCGAACCGGTAACATTCGATATTCTTGACACGGACTTCGACATCATTATGGGAATGCCTTGGCTCGCAAGTGCGGATCACACGGTCAACTTCCATCGGCTGACTCTTAGCGTTCGCGACGCCTTCGGCGCGGAAGTGGCGTGTACTATTCCTCTACCGCATTCTTCCATCGGCTGACTCTTAGCGTTCGCGACGCCTTCGGCGCGGAAATGGCATGTACTATTCCTCTACCGCATTCTTCGATCCGGTGCCAAGTGGTGACTGCCAAATCATTCCGGGCGACTTGCGCTTACGAGCACCCCGAGGAGATCGGCCTATGTTTCCTACGGACCGTCGCGGTAGCCGACTCTTCACCCACGAACTTGTCTTCGGACCCCTGTGTGGTACGGTTGCTGGACGAGTTCGCCGACATCTTCGAGTCACCTACTGGTGTGGTCCCGGGTAGGCCGATCTCTCACGAGATCATTTTTTAAGCCGGTGTTGTGCCGCCGAAAGGTTGCATCTATCGGATGAGCAAGGAGGAGCTTGAGGTCCTCCGCACACAACTCGATGATTTGTTGGCCAAGGGCTGGATCCGCCCGAGTAGCTCCCCATATGGAGCACCAGTTCTCTTCGTCAGGAAGAAGAACAAGGATCTACGATTATGTATCGACTACCGCAAGCTCAACGCGCAAACCGTCAAAAATGTGGGGCCTCTCCCTCGCATCGACGATCTTCTCGAACGGCTGGGCGGCGCGAAGTATTTTTCCAAGTTGGATTTGAAATCGGGATATCATCAAATCTCGATCCAGCCAAACGATCGCTACAAGACCGAGTTCAAGACGCGATACGGGCATTTTGAGTGGGTGGTCATGCCTTTTGGCCTCACCAATGCCCCGGCGACATTCCAGGCGGCGATGACCAATGAGTTCCGTGCAATGTGGACCGGTTCGTGCTGGTCTACTTAGACGATATTCTCGTCTATAGTCGGACATTGGAGGATCATCTTGGACATCTTCGACGAGTGTTGGAGACGCTCCGCCGTGCCAAGTACAAGGCCAACCGCGACAAGTGCAAATTTGTCCGGCAAGAGCTGGAATACTTGGGCCATTTTGTCACACCGGAGGGCATCAGTCTGCTATCGGACAAGATTCAGGCCGTCCAAGAGTGACCGGAGCCTCGGAACGTCACGGATGTCCACTCGTTCCTCGGTCTTACCGGCTACTATCAGCGCTTCATCAAAGGCTACTCCAAGATCGCGGCCCACTTAAACAAGCTTCAGTGCGAGGATCGGTCGTTTGACTTCGGAGAGGAGGCGCGAGGATCATTCTTCGCTCTCAAAGCCGCGCTATTGTCTGCGGAGGTCTTGCGAATCTACGACCCGATCGCGCCTACGCGTGTCACTACGGATGCGTCAGGCTATGGCATTGGTGCAGTCCTCGAGCAACATGATGGTGTGGACTGGCACCCGGTCGAGTACTTCAGCAAGAAAGTGCCCCTCGTGCATTCCATTGACGATGYAYRCAAGAAGGAGCTCCTCGCCTCCGTCCACGCGCTCAAACGGTGGCGGCACTTCCTCATTGGTCGAAGCCAATTTCGCTGGGTAACGGACAACAATCCGTTGGTCTTCTACAAGACCCAAGACACCGTCAACAGCACCATCGCTCGATGGATGGCTTTCATCGACCAGTTCGACTTCTTTCCCGATCACATTCTCGGGCAGTCAAACCGTTTTGCGGATGCTCTTTCACGGCGTCTGGATCACTGTACCGCGGTCTACTCAACATTCGAGATCGACGACGACCTGTGAAACAGCTTCATCCGCGGCTACCAAGCCGACCCCGATTTTCGCGACAAGTACGCGAATTGCTCCTCTCCTAATCTGGCTCCTTCTCACTATCGGATCCAAGAGGGGTACTTGCTTGTCCACACGCGGGGGAAGGACCTTCTTTGCGTACTGAGTGATCCTCACTTGCGTACACGGCTTCTTGGCGAGTTCCACGACGCTCCCGCCACTGGACATTTTGGAGTCAATCGCACGATTGGCCGACTTCGCCAGCGATTTTGGTGGTCCGGCCTTCCCGGCGACGTCACGCGCTATTGCGAGTGATGTGAGGTTTGCCGACGCTGCAAATCCCGCAACCATCGTCCGTACGGCGAGTTACGACCATTGCCAGTCCCGTTGCAGCGAAGGGAAGCGATTGCCATGGACATTACCGGCCCGTTCCCCAAGCACAAGACCGGAGTGGATGGGATTCTCACGGTGGTCAACCAATTCACCGAGTTAGCCATGTTTCTGCGTTGTCGCTATCATGCCAAGGCACCTGAGTTGGTCGAGGTTTTGTACGCCGGTTGGATTCGCACCAAGGGTTACCCCAAGGAGATCGTCTGCGACTGCGACACTCGGTTCATGTCCGATTTTTGGTTGGCGCTCATCAAGCGATGGGGCTCATCTCTCAAGCCCAGTTCAGCTTGCCACCCTCAGACCGATGGCCAAACGGAGAGGGCACATCAGACCGCACAGGTTCTCCTTCGCATTCTCATCCGCCCGGCTATTGGGATATCGCCCTTCGAGTTTGAGCGACTGTCGGACGTTGAGTTGGCTACAACTCTTCCATCCACCCGACTATTGGGATATCGCCCTTCGAGTTCAAGCACGGCTCGCCGGTCACGTCACCGTTGGACACAATTACTCCACGCACGGCCGAGAGCAACGACTATCTTCTTTTCTTGCGTCGGATGCAAGAGCTTCTTGTCAAGGCACGCGACCAGATGGCTAAGACGCAGCAGCACATGAGCCAACAGGCAAATTGCCAGCGTCTTCCTTGTCCATTCCGCACCGGGGACCTCGTCTAGGTTTCAGTAGCGGAATTCGGCCTTGAACAAGACGTCTCTCGCAAGCTCCTCCCGAAATGGATGTGGCCTTGGCCGATCATAGAGCCCGCTGGGGACGCACCCGAAGGACCCTCCTTCACGATTCAGGTGCCTAGCCACTTGCCTGTCTACCCAGTCTTTCATTGCTCCAAACTGGCTCTCTACACGCCAACGGATCATGACGACTTTCTCGGGAGACGTACGCAAGACCCACCTTCTATGGATGGTTTTCAGAAGGTCGGCGACATCATCTCCCAGCGACGTTTTGGCAACAAGCCAACTGAGTATTTGGTGCATTTTGCCTACTGCACACATCGAGCTGACCGTTGGTTAACCCGTCCGGAACTGCAAGCGACAGCTCCAGACGTTCTCGCACGCTACGAACGCAAGATGCAAGGCAAGCCGGTTTCTTCGGCTCCACGCCGCGCCCGCGTCCAGGTTCCACCTTCAGATCGACGGCTTCGCCCTCGCCCCGGCTTGACTTCATGAGGGGGGGGTGTTACATGCAGCGTGTGCACACACACGGGCCATTTTGCAGGCCCGATGACCATTTTGCAGGCCTGCGTCCATCCAGGCTAAAAGCCTGAACTTCAGGCCGAAAGCCTGAAATCCATGGCTTACAGGCCCCCTGTCGGTTCAGGCCAAAAGCCTGAAGTTCAGGGCCTATCCCTGGTCATTTCAGACTAAAAATGGCAACAACCTTTTTAGCCTGAAACGAAGGGCCATTTTCGGTCGTTCATCAGAACGACCGGCCCTGAAACTCAGGCACCGATCCAGGGTTTCGGAAACAGACTATTATTAGTCTGTTTCCCACACCAGCCTCAAGCAGGCTACTGCACGCCAGCCCCTGGCACACTTCGGCATTGGCAAGAGCTGCCTCCTCGGCCTGACTGGCCTCCAGTAGTCAGGAGGCAGGCCGAGGTAGTACATAGGACTTCCCAGGCACTTCCGAGGTAGGCAGTCGGTCAGTTGTAGTCTTCAGGATTCGGGAGCAGCACTCTGGAGGGAGCGTTGCGTAGTAGTAGTTGTAGCATTAGCTAGTAGTCTTCAGCGCTGGGCGCAGTAGGTAGCTGTAGTCTCCAGCGTTGGGCGCCATAGCTAGGTAGTACTAGAGAGAGAGAGAGAGAGAGAGAGCTTGGGCGGAGGCCAGAGATAACTACCTGCAGCGCCGTTGCTCCAGCTTCGTCTTCGAGGTACCTGCAGCACAGCGCCAACACCACAGGTTAGTATCTGGTTCGTAACAGAGAGAGAGAGAGAGAGAGAGTTCTTCTTCTCCTTCTCAGTCCACCATCTCTTCTCTCCCTCTCACTTCTGACTTCACTGCATCTGCAGACTATGAGAGAAGAGATACAGAGCTTGGTGACATTTGATCCAGACTCGACTTTCGGGGGTTCAGACATGGCAACGAGGGACTATTTGGGATTGGTGACCAAAACTTGGTGTTAACGACATTCCCATCTTCCTCCCTCCTTTCGTCTGATCCTTATCTCTTCGTCTGTGTATGTCTGGACCTGGCGCTTTCTTCTGGTGTGCAGCGCCAGTCTCCTTCACACTTGTGATGGATACAATGCATGTTTAAGTCTGAGTTCAAACATTGATTGGGCTAGTTAGTAGTACTCTAGCGTTCTACTTCGTTACTCTGAACTACGTAAAAGAGGTCAGTCCTGTCAGATCAGTCTTTGTATCAAAGTCTTCCCTGCGCTATTCAGCACCTTTTGTATGTATGAGAATGCACATTGTCTGTCG